TTGAGCAATTTCTAGTTTTATTTTATAAACAGAATTATTTTTCCGATTACTATAAACTTTTGTTATATTATTTCTTTATCAGCAAGTTTGGTTAGTTCGGTTAGGTTATGATAGTTTAATTTTATAATTAAAAATTAATAAAATAGAATTTCAGGCATTTATAATTTTATTTTATGAACAGAATTATTTTTGCGATTAGTAAACCTTCATTGCCAAAGTGCTCTTTACTACAGCGCTGTTCACGGAGGAATTTTGAACTAAATGCCTCATTTGTACCTCCCCTAAGTCAGACCCTGTTGAATTAGTTCTGGAATAAAGTTTACTAATTAATTTACGTGTATTTTGCATATTTTATGAAGATATATCAATGGCGACGAGTGATAAGAGTGAAAATGAAATTAGAAAATTAAAACAGCAAAGGGGAATCATAAAATCACAAATTACAAGGACTTTACATGTGCTGAAAACTAAAGGTTCATCTATATACGATGCTCTGGGCAGACAAACTCTACTGGATGAAACGTGGAAAAGATTCACCGTGTTACATGAACAGATTATAACAACTACAGACAATGAAGATGAAATTGAAAGAGAAGAAGATTATCGTACAGATGTAGAGGAAACATACCTCGAGGCAAGAGCTTTATTACAACCATTCTTTGTCACTATTAAGCAAACAGAAGTTGAAAGGAATGTTTCTAACGAATTAAATGATCCTTATAAATTGAACATACCGAATGTGAGTTTCACACCCTACACAGAAAATGAAACCTTTCGGAATTTCCTAATGCGGTTTAAAAATTTCTTGAATCTAAAACAAATCACTGAGCCTAAAACCAAAACACAACTGTTTGTTAGTACTCTTACACCCGAAATGCATCAGGCATTATGTGACACAATTGCTCCTGAGACACCGGGTGACAAATCGTATGAAGAACTTGCAGATATACTGCAAAACTGTTTGGAACCTACTCCAAGTGTACTTGATAATCAAAATAGGTTCATCAGTAAAGTTCAAGATACTGAAGAGGGAATTTCTACGTACGCTCGAGAATTAAAACGTTTGGCAATTGACTGTGACTTTAAGTGTTACAACTGTGAACATTCAGTCTGTGATATGTTCTTGAAGATGCAATTCATTCGAGGATTAAGAGATAATGAAGTGAGAGTTAGGCTTCTTCAGGAAAAAGGAAATAAACAATCATTTAAGGAAGTGGTAGAAATGGCTATTTCTATTGAACAATCCAAACTGGAAAGTTATGCAATAATACCTAAGTACTCTCATTACGTTACAGAACAAACTAAAGATGTTAACTATGTGAGTAAACAACCTGGGTGTTGAAGAATAAAGATTGTTTGCCTTGAATGAGTAGGCTTTATTTAACACAATTCAAGTAATGTAATTCATAAGTAAGAGTTAAATCTAGAGAATGAAATAATGATTACAAACATTCAACATAAACAAATAAAATAACAATGTCCAACAACAGCTGGGAATATTTTCTATCACATTCTTCCCCGCTAATATAATTTAAAGTCTTTAAGGTGAGAAGGTAGTTTCTTCTGTCTTGAGCTTCGTCTCTGTGATTGTGTTTCATCAGTCCTTAAGGTTTGTAGAGGCTCTTGAGTTGCAGATTCTTCTATCACCTCTGCATCGGGATGAGACACATCCTGGGTCTCGTCTACTAAGTTTACATCGCTATTAAGTTCCATTGTGTGGTTCTCCGGTGTTGATTCATCATCAAAATCTGTTCTCTCAGCTTGTTTTCCACAAGGAGCTAAGTTGCGTGTAGACACTGTTGTCTCACGCCCATCTGGCAATCGTACATGAGCGTAATCAGAGTTTCCTTCCAGCAATGTCACCTCCTGCACTATTGGTTCATACTTAGAGTTTCTGATAGGACGTCTCAACATCACTTTTCCAGGAGTCATCAACCAGGTTGGTGTGGAAACACCATTTTGTGATCTTCTGGGATGTCCAAACATTCGTTCATGTGGCGTACAATTCGTGGCAGTACAAAGCAAGGATCGGATAGAGTGAAGAGCTTCATCCAGAACTAATTCCCACTTTGTCACGTCAAGTTGATAGTTCTTAAGGGCAAGTTCTACTGTTCTCCAGATTATACCATTATATCTCTCAACCTGGCCATTACACTGAGGGTTGTAAGCAGTAGTCCGACTAGAAGCAATGTCGTTTAAAGCGAGAAACTCCTTTAGTTCTTTTGAAAGAAAAGAAGATCCCTGATCGGAGTGAATGTAGCTAGGAGTACCGAACAATGAAAATAACTGTTTCAGTTTGCAAATAACAGTCGAAGAGGACATATCAGGACAGGGGTACGCAAATGGAAATCGTGAGTACTCATCAATGATTGTTAGCATATACCGATTTCTTGTAGAAGAGGGAAGAGGACCCTTAAAATCCAGGCTAAGACGTTCAAACGGTGATGTTGCTTTTATTAATTTTCCATCATGTTTGAAGAATCTTGGTTTTACTTCAGAACATACCTTACAGGAAGCAGTCATTCTTCTTATCTCATCAAGGGAGTATGGTAAATTTTTGCTTCTTATCCAATGATACATACGAGTTTCACCAGGATGACACATTCTTTCATGATATTGATGAAGTCTGTTCATTTTGTCGCTCATCGAGCACACTCGTGATAGAGAGTCAGCAGCTACATTCAGTTTACCAGGTCTATAAACAATATCATAACTATAGCTTGATAGTTCTAGTCTCCACCTCATGATTTTGTCATTCTTAATTTTCCCCGATATCTTAGAGTTGAACATGAAAGAGACAGACTTCTGGTCTGTTATTAGTTTGAAATGTCTGCCTAGCAAATAGTGTCTCCATTTTCGTACTGACTCCACGATTGCATATGCTTCCTTTTCAACCGAACTGTGCTTTAGTTCACTATGAGACAGACCTCTTGAGAAAAAGGCTACAGGTTTTCCTTCCTGGGTCAGTGTTGCTGCTATTACAGTGTCAGATGCATCAGTCTCAACAGTGAAGGGTAGATCAGGATTTATGGGACTCATTGAGGCATTTTCAATCTCTTGTTTCAGTTCATTAAATGCCTTTATAGCCGTTGCGGATAAAGGGAAAGAGCTGGTTGTCAGAACTTTAATCTTTTCAGAAAATCGTGGGACATATCTTGAGAAATGGGAAAACATTCCTACTGCCCTTCTTAGGGATGATGCGTTTGTGGGCAAGGGGAAATTCTTTAGAGGTAAAAGCCGATCAGAATCTGGCTTAATGGTTTTGTTGCTTATTGTATATCCAAGGAGACTAATAGATTTCATTGTAAAAGAACATTTATTTTCATTAATAGTCAAGTTATACTTGCTAGCAGCGTTCATCAGCCTGTTTAGGTTCCTATCATGCTCCTCTTGTGTTTTACCACATACTGTTATGTCATCTAAATAAGCAAATGTGTCATTAAGATTTTCTGCCCTGATTATGCCATCAATAACTCTCTGGAATGCAGCAACTCCATTTGTCACCCCAAAAGGAATTCTGGTAAATTGATACAGCTGACCACATGCTTCAAAAGCTGTAAAAGGCTTATCTTCAGCCTTGATCGGTATTTGATGGTAAGCGCTTTTTAAATCAATGGCACTAAACACTTCATAGTTAGCAACTTTATTGACAATTTCTTCAAGATTTGGGATTTGATAAGCATCGAGACTTGTAAATCTGTTTATAGTGTTAGAGTAGTCTATTACCATACGCTTCTTATGGTTTTCGGAGCTGGTAACAAAAGCTTGAGCTCTCCATGGAGATATACTTGGTTCTATTACCCCTTCATGCAATAGTGAGCGAATTTCTTCTGAAATAAACTGATAATCTGTTACTGTATGACGGCGAGATTTCACAGAAATAGGGTGACAATCATGTGAAATATGCTCAAATAGTGAAGCTTGTGGTACATTTGCAGCAGCTACAGATACATCCCGATGCAGAGGTGATAGAAGAATCTGCAACTCAAGAGCCTCTACAAACCTTAAGGACTGATGAAACACAATCACAGAGACGAAGCTCAAGACAGAAGAAACTACCTTCTCACCTTAAAGACTTTAAATTATATTAGCGGGGAAGAATGTGATAGAAAATATTCCCAGCTGTTGTTGGACATTGTTATTTTATTTGTTTATGTTGAATGTTTGTAATCATTATTTCATTCTCTAGATTTAACTCTTACTTATGAATTCCATTACTTGAATTGTGTTAAATAAATTGTAGAAGAATAAAGATTGTTTGCCTTGAATGAGTAGGCTTTATTTAACACAATTCAAGTAATGGAATTCATAAGTAAGAGTTAAATCTAGAGAATGAAATAATGATTACAAACATTCAACATAAACAAATAAAATAACAATGTCCAACAACAGCTGGGAATATTTTCTATCACACTGGGTTAACAAGAAAGAGTAGAAATGAAATCAAACCACATATTACCTTTCAAGATTTAAGAGGTAAATGTTACAGATGCGGCAGTGCTCAACATAAAGCTGATACTTGCAAGTTTAAAAATGAATTTTGTAGGAAGTGTAATAAGATCGGACACATTGCGAATGTTTGTCTTACACGCAACAGGGTTAGCAATGCAAGCAAGAACGCTTACAAGTTAAAATCGAATAAAATTGATGTTGAAGATGATAATGAAAACATTCATGAAGTTTACATGGTGGGGACACCAAATGTGAATGACAAGTTCATGATTAACGTTTCTATTGAAGGCAAGTCATTGAATATGGAACTTGATACCGGGGCGGCTTTGAGCTCATTATCATACAGTGATTTTCTTAAACTTGAACTTAATAAACGTCTATTCAAGACGGCAGTGGAAATGAAAACATACACTGGAGAAATTATAAGGCCTGTAGGAGTCTGTTTTGTTGAGTGCAAGTACAGAAATTTAAGTTTTCATGGGAAACTCTATGTTTTAAAACAAAATGTAGGCCCAATATTTGGACGTGAATGGCTCCGAGAAGTCAAGATGGATTGGGCTGATATAAATCTTGCGGATACCAACACATCAGAGGAACCTGATAAACTCCTAACAACTTTTCAGGACATTTTCAAGGCAGAAATTGGTAAAATAAATTCAGAACAAGGACATATACAGCTAAAGGAAGGAGCTAAACCAATTTTTGTTAAACCCCGACAAGTACCTTATGCTCTAAGGAAAGCTGTTGAAGATGAGCTACATAGACTAGAGAGCAGTGGTATAATCTCCAAAGTTGAAAACTCGCAATGGGGAACACCAATTGTTCCGGTAAAAAAGCCTAATGGAAGTGTAAGGCTCTGCGCTGACTACAAGGTAACAGCCAACAAACTAATATTAGATGAGAAGTACTCTATACCTCGCATTGATGACATCTTTACACACATGAACAAAGGGAAATTTTTCTGCACCTTGGACATTAGTAATGCCTATTTGCACCTTCCAATGGATGAAGAATCAAGAGAAATACAAACCATAAGTACTCATTTAGGTTTGTTCAAAGTCAATCGCCTAATGTTCGGCATAAAAGTAGCTCCAAGTATATGGCAACTATTTATGGACAAGGTTCTCCATGGACTAGAAGGAACTGTATGTTTCTTTGACGACATACTCATTCAAGGGAGCACATTCCAAGAAACTATGAGTCGACTAAAAGAGGTTTTTCAAAGAATTAGACAATATAACTTACGATTGAATCAGGACAAATGCAAATTCTTCAAGAAAAGTGTGAAGTATCTAGGCCATGTTATAGACGAGAATGGTCTTCATAAATCACCTGACAATGTTGAAGCTATACGTAAAGCAAAGAGACCAGAAGATGTCACTCAACTAAGAAGTTTCCTAGGACTCACAAATTACTACACTCGATTTGTGCCTAACATGTCAACCTATCTGGAACCATTAAATAATGTACTAAGACATGGAAAGAAGTTTACATGGAATAAGGAGTGCGAGGATGCCTTTGTGAAGATCAAAGCTGAAATCACCAGTGAACGAATATTAGCTCATTATGATCTGAGTGAAGCATTGGTACTTGCTACGGATGCAAGTCCAACTGGCTTAGGTGCTTGTTTATCTCACAGAGATTTTAAAATTATTTTAATTATATTATACAGGGTGTCAGAAAAAAGTGTGATGGGCTATACAGGACCTAATTCTACATGCAAAAATAAGTCAAAAATGAAGAATAAATTTTTTTGGATTTCGGCTTAGTTTAGCCGTAATCCGCCATTTTGTTTTTTGGGGAAAATATTTATTATTTCAAAATCCCTTTGAGATTTTTTTACGAAACTTGGCAAAATTGTTTACACTATAGTAAGTAACATTTATAAAAAAATTATTATTTTAACTTTCCAAATTTCAAAATGGCGGCCGTGTGAATTTTTTAATGCCAAATTTCATGAAAACCGGTACCTAAATCCAAATTTTGTAAGACACAAAAGTTTTAGTATTTATTATAACAAATCCAACAAAACAAAAATGAATAAAATCGGTTCATAGATAAAGAAGCTGTGTTTATTTTAGTAATTTAGACAGAAATTATAAATATTAAAATGTATTAAATGTAATTTAATAATTTATGTAACGTATTAAGTAATTTCAGTCTAAATTACTAAAATAAACACAGCTTCTTTATTTATGAACCGATTTTATTCATTTTTGTTTTGTTGGATTTTTCATAATAAATACTAAAACTTTTGTGTCTCACAAAATTTTGATTTAGGTACCGGTTTTCATGAAATTTGGCATTAAAAAATTCACACGGCCGCCATTTTGAAATTTGGAAAGTTAAAATAATAATTTTTTTTATAAATGTTACTTACTATAGTGTAAACAATTTTGCCAAGTTTCGTAAAAATATCTCAAAGGGATTTTGAAATAATAAATATTTTCCCCAAAAAACAAAATGGCGGATTACGGCTAAACTAAGCCGAAATCCAAAAAAGTTTATTCTTCATTTTTGACTTATTTTTGCATGTAGAATTAGGTCCTGTATAGCCCATCACACTTTTTTGTGACACCCTGTATACTAGCTGACCCTACAGACATCGTCCTGTCCTAATGTGGTTTTATGTCAAATGCTCGTTCATTTTCTAGATGAGCTCGTTCGCATGGCTCAATCACGTCCTGGTTGAAGTTCGTTCGCTACGCTCACTCACCTTTAGGTTGGAGCTCGTTCGCTGCGCTCACTTGCCTTCAGGTTAGCTCGTTCGCTACTCTAACTCACCTCCAGGTTGAAGTTCGTTCGCTGCGCTCACTCACCTTTTGGTTGCAAATTAGCTGTTATCATAAATAAAAAAAATTGTGCCGCACACTGTTGTTAAACCTATTAACTTTTTAATTCTATTGAACATCACAGAATCAAATTGTTTAGTTGAACCAGCTGTTAAGATTCTTTGATTCTATTTAAATACGAGTACTCATAAGGTTAACATGGGAAACTCCAGAGCCACTGGGGGGAGCCCTTTTGACGGATCTGCCACAAACTTCACACAAACCATCCTTGAATAATGCTTAATAATGCCTGAAAGTTTCATTACAATCTGTCGAGCGGTTTCGGAGTCCATAAAGGACAAACAAACAAACAAACATACATTGGATTATATATATGAGGGGTTGAGAGGCCAAGGGAGATATGTGACTTTTTAAAAAATGTCATTGTATTTTTTTCATAGTCATAAAAAATAAAATAAAAATAAAAATAAATTCACTTATACCCCTTGGCTTCCAACTCTTAGGTGTCTAGTTTGGAGGCCAAGGGATATAAGTGAATTATTTGTTGAAATTCCACCCTTTTTTAACAAAACCCGTTACCATGACAACATTTTAAAAAAAGTCACATATCTCCCTTGGCCTCTCAACCCCTCATATATAGATGCATTATATAAATTTGTTATTAATTTTCAGTTTATTTTAATTTTATTTGAATACAGCTACTCCCGCGATTGGCGAATGGAACATACTGTAAGCGACTAAGCGTTGGCCGGTCCATCTCCCGGCTGTTTGCATTTAGAACCGAGTAAATTGCGGTACAGTGAATGAATGAATTAAATATTATGCAAGTTATATTCCTAATAATGAATGATAGCAAGAATAAATCAAATACATTCCTAATAAACTACAAACAATTATTCAATAGGCTATACAATTAGAAATTAGTAGCCTACTTCTTGACAGGCCTAGACAATGAACCATACCGTGGTTAAAAGTGGACTTCTATAAGCCTAGGTAATTAATTATTTACTTATTATTATGGTTGTAACTGGACTTATGTATTAATAGTCCATGGCTTGGCAATCAAATAACGGTACTTATATAGGATAGGCTACTGTTATCAACTTTTGAAATTACTGAATTGTTACCAAATTACTGTTTCACAAAATGAAGATCCCATTTTCAGCCGAGCCATTAAAATGAGGATTTGCCGAACAATTATTAATATTACAGAATATTATTTAATGATATACAACTGTTCACATTTCATATGTTAGAGTTTTGCTATGGTCAAAGGTCAAAATCCAAATGTTCTTTTCTTTTGGTCTGTATATACCGTAGTAATTCGCTCGAATCATTGACTTAGTATAAAGTCAATGCTAGAATACTGTAAATGGTTTGTTAAGACCATATGCAAGCATTTTTGAAATCGTTTCCCCGTTTTCTGAAAAATTTAAAAAATGAATGGTTTTCTGAATATACAGGTAACTAGTGGCTTGTAGGGACATAAGTCCCTAAAAAGCTCAAATGTAAAACAACTTTTTGCAATACCTTGAATCACTCCAGTGGTTTAACATGAAAAGACAGCAAACATATCATTGTTTGTGAATAAATACTGGTTTACTAAGGTAGCTTTGGTCTTGTGGTTAATGAGGATAAATAAAAGCTTCCCTGTTTGGAATTTTAAAAATTCATTGGAGGTTCGCCTTCAGATGAATTGAAGACGCCTGCAATTTCATCTGCAGTAGGCTTATTATACCTACGACGATCCATATTTATCCTGTCTACAAACCTAAGTTCTAATTCACTGTCACCTTGTACAACCATTTCTTCCGAAACTCTTTTGTAAATTTGTGCAAATGGATTTTCTAATAGAATTTCAGCTAGTTTTGACAATATTTCAGGTTTTAAGTCACTATTTTCTCGACGCCTTTGACGAATTTCTGTTGCTGTTGATGTGTCAATAATGTACAATTAATTGGCCATACACGGGGTCTTCATCATGTTGAGGCAGCAAATCTGAGATTGAACGATAAATCTCTCCTTGAATTTTGAAACAGTATGGTCCTTTTCCTGGAATATCTTTCTTACTGGCTGAAAAATAAGCAAAAGCCATCGCACTGTTGCATTGTCGAATGAATTTATACAGTTGTGGGCTCTCTTCAAACAAACTTTTAAGTTCTACATTAGTTTTTGACTGAGGAAGGTTAATAAGTCCGTTATGGCAACATGTCATAAAATGATCATTCGTTAGTTCTTCTCTAAAATGAAGAGCACTACATTGAATGCACTCTTGGTCCAGTAATCCTGCATCATGGATCTTTACATTTCTCTCGTCTACCATGGGTCTCCTAAAAAGGGGTTGTAACATATCTTGATTAAGTTCGTCATTATCTACTCTTGCTCTCCTACGCGCACTGTCATTCCTATGAACAGTTCCCCGCCTTTGTGGTATTCCCCTGGCGTTCATATTAATTACGGTACTTATAATGAAAAGAATATATATCCAGCAGCCTACATACCAAAACATCTTGAATCCCTGGTGATTTTATAAAAGTATGATCGAATATGATTATTCTACGTTGTATATTCACTGCACTAAAAAAAATTATTTACGAAGGAATGCAGATACACCATTTTAGAACCAATAACATTTATAGGTTATTTTAGTTGTATATATTTACACAACCTTAACCTTAAAATGTGTAGAAATATAAAGAAAACAACATCATTTAAAATAAACTTGAACATATGATTTAAAAATAAAAACAAAACAGAAGTTAGATTTAATTTCGACTCTTTGATTATTTATACAGAATATTTATTTTATGTCGTTTATTCCTTTAACACGACAATAACGTAAAAGCATGAAAAAATGAAACTTGAGTACAGTATATGATTTAAATATAAACAAAGAATTTTCTGATTAATCTTCAATATTTCAGTTTTATTATAGTATACATTTCATAGTTGACTGGCTAAAAGTAAACCAAATGCGTGTATTGATCACTGATTTCAAATCTGTGGCACAGCTGTTTTAATTTCAAAAGATGTAAACAAATTAAACCCCATGTTGTTTTAATGGGAAAAGTTTTATTCTGTTGCGAATTTATGGTAAAAAAATAAGAAAAATGAATAGTTTTCCCTCAAAATTCACGTCAAGACCTTTAAAATAAGACCCCTCCCATCCTTCTACGGCCATCCAGTCACTCACAATTTCTTTACAAAAATTTGACTTACGGAATTATATATATAGATTTGTCACCTGATAAAACAACAAACTACTCTTTATGGAAAGCTACTAGAGGGATGAACCGTCCAAATATACTGATACCGTCTACTGTCTATCTCTAAGTCCGATGGAACTTGGGCAAGAAACGATATTGAAAAATCTGAAGTGTTTGCAAACCACTTGGCCGCAGTGTTTACTCCCAATCAAAATCAAAATTATAATTTTAATAATCTTGACGAAATTCTTGAGTTCATTGACCCACCAAATCAGTTATCACCTCCAATAAAGCCCTTTACTCTCTCAGATGTCTGTAAACTTGTAAACAAATTAAAACTGTTTAAAGCCCCTGGATACGACTTAATCACGGGAAAAGTAATGAAAGAGCTTCCTAGAAAAGCATTTATATACCTGACACTCATTTTTAATTCAATTATACGGACTGAGTATTTCCCTACACAATGGAAAGTTTCAGAAATAATCATGATAGCCAAGCCAGGGAAACCACCCCAACAAGCAAGTTCATATCGACCTATCAGTCTACTTCCAATAACATCCAAATTGTTTGAGAGGCTCTTCTTGAATCGTCTACTTGAAGAAGTAGAGGATAGAAACTTGATTCCAAATCATCAGTTTGGGTTTTGACGGGAGCATTCCACAGTTGAACAAGTACATAGATTGGTTAATAGAATTAAAGAAGACCTTGAGAAAAAAGACCTATTGTACAGCTGTCTTTATCGATGTAAGTCAAGCCTTTGACAAAGTTTGGCACACAGGCCTACTTTATAAACTCAAACTGAATCTTCCTCATACATTTTATATGACAATTAAATCATACCTAACCGACAGATATTTCAGAGTTAAATTTGGAGATAGCATTACAAAATTGTACCCAATTCAAGCTGACGTTCGCCCCAAGGAAGTGTTCTCGGACCTATACTATATACGCTGTTTACAGCCGATCTACCTGAAAATGTGAATACTTCTGTGGTCACTTTTGCTGACGATACAGCTATTTTAGCGTCCCATCCTGATCCAGTGGTAGCTTCGCTTAGTCTTCAAAATTCCCTAGATGACTTAGAAGAATGGTTGCAAACATGGAAAATAAAAGTGAATGAGAGCAAATCTACTCATGTGACCTTCACTACCAGATTAGGTACTTGTCCTCCTGTAACCTTAAAATTTAAGGTTGTTTTGGACATTATTTAATAATGTCCAAATTCCGCAATCCCACGAAGTGAACTTTACTGGCTCCTAAATAGTAAATCAAAATTGACCATTGCAAATAAATTATTACTATACAAAGTAATCCTGAAGCCAATTTGGACTTATGGAATCCAACTGTGGGGAACGTCCAGTATGTCGAACATAAACATCATCCAACGATTTCAGTCAAAAGTTTTAAGGTTCATCCTGCAAGCCCCGTGGTATGTTAATAACAATATCCTTCACAAGGACAGTAGAATTCCGACGGTTGAAGAGGAAATAACCAAATTTAGTACAAAATATCTAAAGAAGCTTGAAAATCACTCCAATCACCTGGCTCTAAACCTTTTGGACAACAGTACCAGTATATACAGGCTGAAAAGGATTCATGTCTTGGACCTAAGCTCACGTTTTGTTTGAACAATTTAATTTTCCCCTGTTTATTTACTTATTTATTTTTTCATTGAAATATTTTTAAGTTAGATCTGCCAATGGACAGAGACTAACTAACGTTTTATAAATAATTGTTATTGTATTTGCTGAATGTTCAAAAAATGAACAGATTGTAAATAAAGTTGTGATAAAAAAAAAACTTATGGTGCAACACAAATAAACAACCCAATGACCTACCTATAACCTACACTTTACCTTCCTAATCCAACCTTACTTCAAAAGACTTAAAGTAGTCACGAATACTCATAAACCCCGACCTACCTTCCTCACATGCCTAAATTAGATCATTGTGCAGTGAATACTGCGCCTTAAAAAATGTTTTAACGGCATTTTCTTGTTTATTAAGATTGTAGGAATGGTTTAAAAACCTTTAAAATAAAAGTCTAGAAAGTTCAGAAATACCTTATGACTCTCTTGTTTAAATTTTTCTTGTTAATTCATAAAACTGTCATGGCTACTTTAGTCCCATAAGCCTAACGTTATAAATTGGAAATTTTAAGTTCGTGTTAAAATGCATTAGCATTATCTAATCGAAATTTGTTTGTTTATTAACCATCTCAATATTAGTCTAAGTAATCTTGTTAAGTTTAAGTATTTTCTGAACTTGAAGAAATGTCGCATTGGCGCAACGATGGTGTGTTTGGGGGGGGGGAGAGATTTGGCAGTGGTGCTTTGCCGGTGTCTACCTGGCGCTAGAGGCGCGTTCCCAGTGGACCGATATACTGTAACACGAGTAAACCAGCGCCTCTTGTTTTTCCTAATAGGCAGCCAAATTATATTCACCACCTACCTGTTTTAAAAGAAAAAGATCACTTTTTAAAACTAAGTGGTAGGATTGAATTTTGTTACTAAAACCAAACGTAGATGTGTAACTATTTTATACAACAGATTTAAATATTTTTACCATAGGCAAGATTGTACTTACTTTTGCCTGATGGTGTCAAATGTAGTTTATGATGTACATGTTTCTGCTCAGTACGCCTACAAACGTCACCCGGTCGTGGTTATCTTTATCTAACCGTGCGTACGCAAACATGTTTACGGTACCTGCAATTGCAAAACGCGTGTTCTATGTATATTTTCGTGTGTATATAAACTGTAAATAGCTGACAAACATCGTTTGATGTGATTTTTTAACACAAGAATGCTGCTGAAGATGAGCTGTAAGTAGCTCGATACATGTACAGCATAAACTACATTTGACACCTTCAGGCAAAAGCAAGTATAATCTTACCTATAGTAAAAATATTAAAGGTGTCAAGGCTGATTATAAAATAGATTTAAATAACATCATCGTACTCTTTTGTGTCCTCTTCCCGTACAACAGCTAGTATTTAATAGGCATGTCATTATCTTTATATAATATAATAGCATTATAAAGATTTGCATATACTGACCAGGCATTCCCGATGACGTGGAACACACTTTCTTCCACTGCCAGCATTGGGAAAGGCCCCGCCTAGAGGCTCAACAGTTCGTAGGACTGCTGTCGGTGGACACGGTCATACCGATGATGATGGAGGGTGAGGGCAATTGGACCTGTGTGTCACTTTACATCCAGGGTGTACTCCGCGCCAAGAAGCTTGACCTCGACCGGGATGCGGTGTAGGTCAAAAAATAAATAATGCCAGAAACGGTGCGAGCCCTGTGGGCTTAGGTCACATGTTGGCCTGACTTGAAGTAATGTGACAAACAATTCCAGGTCTGTGTCCAACAGAGTAGAGGGGGTTTTTTAGTGAGTAGTCTGTGATAAACTCAGGAGTCTCACACTACAGGCTGGCTACCTGTGTGCGTAAAAGCATTTTCCCTCCTCACCCTAAAAAAAAAAAAAAAAAAAAATTATAAAGTGTGTATATTTGTATAAATATTTAGTTATAGATCGCCAGTGTAGTCCGCTACTGCCCAACTATTATCGGTCCGCTATCCGCTAAGTGCTAGTCGGCCTCTAGGTCAACATGTTAAATACACCAGTTACTGTTGTATCTTTTAACCACTTTCTACTACATTTGACCACTTCGGGCTACGTTCTGATTTTGATTTCATTGCTGCTCTACGTGTACGAGCGCTTGGATATGATGGTTTGAAACAAATTGAATTACATTTACCGATACCTATATGTGTGGAGGAAAAATGCTACGTGTGTTACAAGAATGCCATGCATTACACTATAATAATAACTAGTGTACATGTTGCTCGAATTCGAGCAATTGTAGAGTATTACAGAAGTTATTTCAAAACGAATAACAATAATATTTACAATGAGTTAAAACAGTCAACTCAAAGATTACCGGTGCGTAGCTCATGGAAATACTCACGATGTATATAACAGTTCAATACTGTTATCAACATTTCCTGTAAATATTTTGTCTTGTTTCATAAAGCTGATAAAAATTCAATAACTTGTAAAACTTATGCCATTAAACACAAACCAACATCCAAAACTATACACATTTTTAATGCAACATAGATAGTTTATACATTATACATTGACTGTTTAAAATTAACATATGTTTTTCTTCTCACTTTTAATTTCTGACAACAGCTGGAGTTTAATAACAATTTTTGTTTCCCATGTTAATCTTATGGAGAAATACAAAACTTTAAGGGGCCCCAGGGCCTCACTCTCTAATTATTTCCTTAAAAAGAAAGTTTCCTGCACAACTTCAAGTTAAGCTCTTTCCAATGACACCAAAAACATATAAATCGGTTCAGTAGTTTCGGAGGAGTAATTGTCACAAAAAATCTGCTTGCGTATTAAATAAGTACGAGAGGTCGTCCAGTGGTCGAAACTCGACCAAAAATATGTAATGTAAACTTACTCACTTCTCTATTTTCACCCCACACTGTAAATAAAACATGTGATTGGAGTTTCTTCCATTTGTTTTGATTTTCTGTTTATATTTCGTTGTTATTTCGTCACCAGCATGGCAACGCATAAGATCCATGTTAATTTTTTCAAATTTTTAAACTCATTTTTTGTGCTTATCTTTGAGCCTATTTAAATTTATAAAGGGATTCTGCACACCTACAGGAAAATAGCTTTCCAACGGTATGCGTAGATTTTCCCTACGATTCACACGAGCTGAGAAAAAAGGTTTTAAAGAAACATGCTTGCCTATTAATATATAAACGAGAGGTCGTCCAGTGGTCGAAACTCGACCAAAAATATGTAATGTAAACTTACTCACTTCTCTATTTTCACCCCACACTGTAAATAAAACATGTGATTGGAGTTTTTCCATTTGTTTTGATTTTCTGTTGGTATTTCGTTGTTATTTCGTCACCAGCATGGCAACGCATAAGATCCATGTTAATTTTTTCAAATTTTTAAACTCATTTTTTGTGCTTATCTTTGAGCCTATTTAAATTTATAAAGGGATTCTGCACACCTACAGGAAAATAGCTTTCTAACGGTATGCGTAGATTTACCCCACGATGCACACGAGCTGAGAAAAAAGGTTTTAAAGAAACATGCTTGCCTATTAATATATAGATAGATAGATAGACTAGTTGCTCTGCCCGTGCTTCGCTACGGGGAGAGAATGCAGAAAAGAATATTTAGGTTTTACTTTAAGATACCATAATATACTATGATAAACAGTTACAATACACTTACCAGGAAACATAGGCAAAGCATCAATCCTGCTTATTGATTATTTAAATTAAGATATCTGCTCAATGAATTACAGTACTATCATTGTATATAGTTTATAGCATTTAAAATATAGGTCCGATGCAAAAGTATAATTCATTGACCACATGGCACCAAGAAACTAATCTCCTTGTAAACAAATCAAATTAAATAGCAGAACAGCATTTCCAACAACAGCTGGAGTTTCATAACAATGTTTGTTATGAAATGTTAATCATAACAGACATGTTAATCTTATGGAGAAATACGAAACTTTAAAGGGCACCCAGGCCTCACTCTCTAATCATTTCCCTAAAAAGAAAGTTTCCTGCACAACTTCACGTTACGTTCTTTCCAATGACACCAAAAACATGTCAATCGGTTCAGTAGTTTCGGAGGAGTAATTGTCACAAAAAACCTGCTTGCGTATTAAATAAGTAATAGACTAGTGAACCTGTGCGGCTCAATGCCCCGCAAAATAAAATATGAATTTAGAAAACAAAATCATCGTGTTTTTTATTGAATCGACATTGAAAATTAAATACAGTAATAATGAAGCCTTAGAAGGGAAGCAGTGCAGCCATTTTCTAGCTGTATGTGTGTTATATTTTGTAAATTAATAAGTGATCAAGTTCAAGTATGTTATAGGGTAGTTATAAAAAAAAAAAAAATTAAACACATTTAACAAAACATTTTATCATATCAAACCAATAGGCCTATGTAGCATGTTTTAAGGGTCAAATTCTGCTTGAAGAAAACACTCTTAAATAAACACTAAAAAACTACATTTTTATCATAAAAGCACTTTCATGAATACTACGATTTTTGTCCTAAAGATACCTTCAGGAATATTACCCTGGTCAGAATTTGAATGAATATGCGTATCCTATTAAAAGATGTAGCCTTACTTAAAACAACATATAATATAGATGCTTATGATTGAAATTGGTCTGAGTAAGAACAGCGCTGCTCTTTAATTAAAGGGCTTGTGCTGCAAATGCCAAAGATAATAGAAATTAGCATCAAACGGGCAAATTTTTATCCTCAAAATCAAAATATGTCCCCACTCACTTATTCCAGTTAGGACTTAACATTCTATTAAGTTGTTACCCGTTCTGATCACATGACGCCTTGTGCCATTAATGAGGCTCTTTTTGACGTATTTCTCATCAATAAAACCACTGCCCCCTTTTATTAGTCTAATCTGTGTCCTGGCAATCCACTGAACTCTATATTTAAAACTCAGTTTGATTTTCTAAATGGGTGTCTCCGCCTTTGTCTGTTTTCGAGGACCCACTCTTCTCCCCTTGGCATACTGACAATTAATTACCTAACTTGTCAAGTTCATGTAGTAATTAATTAATACTGTTAGTTTATATAGAAAATTAAATAAAAGTTACTTGGCTTGGTGCTTTCATAACTGCAAACTCAGATTACACCCACAAGTAAAAAAGAATCAAGTTATTGGTTAAAAAAACTACTGTATGTGTAACAACATTATTAACATGAAGTAGATGATTTGTTTGATTTATCGATCAGCTGTTTTGTTTCAAATGAATTAATAATGTCAAAGATTTGTGATTTTAAAAACATAAATTTTTATAGTAAAGTTTTCTAAATCATGGTAACTTATTCTCAACTAAATTTTACTATTCCCAGCATTAAAATAAAGTAGTAAGATCCATTATGAGTAAACTTTAAGGTACACAATCCTTGATTGAAATGTAGTATACATTAACAGTCATAATGCACAACAATTATTATGTAGTAGACTTTGACTATTTTCAAGTAACAAACATATGTTTCTGTAAATACAAATTATCTCCTATGTTATCCTTATGGAGAAATACAAAACCTTAAAGGGCCCCAGGGCCCCACTCTCTAATTATTTCCCTAAAAAGAAAGTTTCCTGCACAACTTCACGTTACGCTCTTTCCAATGACACCAAAAACATGTCAATCGGTTTAGTAGTTTCGGAGGAGTAATCGTTACAAAAAATCTGCTTGCGTATTAAATAAGTACTAGTGGTCGTCAGGGCCCTGTTTCATAAAAATACTAGTCTAGTATTTACTAGTCCATGGACTAGTAATACTAGTGTATTTTACAAGTCTACGTTTCAAAAACCTACTAGTGTAAAATACTAGTTACTAGTGTAGGGACTAGTATTACTAGTGGTTTTTACTAGTGTAGACAGCAATGTGTTTCATAAAGTTTTACTCTTGTAAATTACACTAGTAAATACTTGCTATTTTCTACCAACCTCTCTTCACCCGTATTATTTGAAGTAGACTAGTATTTTTGGAAAGAGAGTTATTTCATTACTTACATCGTTTAAAAAAAATGAATTATTAAGTTCTTTTTGCAAGTGTGAATTGGCTCACGAATAG